CGATATATCGATAACTAAGGCGCTCTTGAAAATGTTCATGTCTTCTTGACAGAGCTCCCAACTAACTCTAACTCTTCTTGTTTTCTCTGTAACTTTAAAACTACTCCAGATTTAGACTACAAAGCTTGTTCATGAGCTTTCGAAGTGAAATATTCCATAGACGATATTAAAGTAGCATTTGTAAGATCAAAACTTCAGGTAAATTTCTAATTAAGCACTTATTTGCATTCATCAAAAACGTAAACTAAATATATAAAATCGTGAAAATTCAAGAATTAAACACCGCAAATTTCACTACAAATTATAAATAGGCTTAATTTTATGCAATTGCAATTTTTTATATTTTCGATATAAAATAATAATATTATGACTTTATCATTATAATATTGTGTATATTATTATACTACTTAGCTCAATTTACGGACACAAGTATATGAAATTTTAAAATAGCGTAAAAATAATTATAGAAAATGAATGAATCTTGATAACACAGAAAAATTATAAACTTACGCAAAGTTTGTAATTAATATATAAAATTACAAAATTTACTTTCCACAAATTTAAGGCCCTTTAAAAGCTTGCTGAAATATGCGCAATGATCATGTATTCTGTTTTTATAAGCAAAAGGTTTCGCAAAACAGAAATAATTACGTTTTCGTGTGCAGTATCCATTTTTTTAATTGTTATGACTGCATACGTTGTTAAATTAACTGGGCGCCGCACACAAGTAAATTTCATTAAAATTCTGCATAATTATATAGGACGAAATTTAATCTGAGAAAAAATAACCACAGAATGTACATGGTAATGATTTGAAACATGATTACATGTTGGGTTGTATAACGAGAATATGTTAATATAATATAAGTCAGTATAATAGTACGGACAAGTTAAGATTGATAATAAAAAAATGGATGGAATTTAATATTTATATAGTCTTATAGTTTTTTCTATATTTTGTATTAAGCCTTTTATTACCATTATTTATATTATGCCTCTCTTCGCAAATAATTCCGTGTTTCATTTTGTCTACATTCGAAAATTCATCACAATCGTTTTTCATTTAATTTGGGACAATACTTTAAGCAAAAAGTGTTAGCTTTGCCTCGGTCGCAAAGTTACCACGACGTACAAATATAATGCATTTACGAGCAAAATATAATTTCCAGCGCACGAATTAATCGGTGAAACAAAGCGGGAATTGCATCGTTTGTTTGCACTAATGATTTTGCTCGAATGTAATTTCACAACAATTGCAAATCATAAAAATAATAGTATCAGAAACAGAAGGAGTGGATGAGTTTTGCAGTAGTTCTGTGCGTTGAGTAATTTGATATTTTTGATCTCTATAATATTTCTATATTTCTGCGTATTTAACACATTTTCCGCAAACTATAAAGAATCATTCACATAAAAAAGCGTTTTTGATGACAAATATTTGGCTAAAACTATAGTAGCATCATTCTATTAATTGTGGTAATTTCTGAAATTTCTCAAAACTCATGAAGTTTTCAAAACTGGTCTAGAGTAAAATAGCCAACAAATATTTGGCCTAATATTTTGAAAGTCTAGTACCAATATTCTCTTCATATATTAATTAACATTAATGACACACATACATCTAGAACTTCAAATAGCCTTGAAATACTTTTGTAAGGCAATGAATGTTGCAATTTATGAACTAGAATTTTTCAGAATTGTGTTGTGAATTAGAACACGATACAGGTAAGACTTAATTTTCTATATATAATTTTGCAACAAATGTAGGCACAAATATTGTCCATTAAAAATTTTAAAAGTCGGTTGCTTTGGCGGCTTCCCAAATTGAAAATTAAACAATAACTACCAACGATGTTCTACTTTTGAATTGTGTTCCGTAATAAATAGGCCTTGGCCTATCATGTTTTTATGTTTTTGGGTGACAAACAAATAGAAGGACATAGATGAATGTACGACGAATTCCTGTTAGCCATACCAAAAACGTCACGTGTTTGTTGATGTCAGAATGTTAACAATATGTTTTACAGTTTACAGTTTTGATAATCATAATCTTGCAGCACTAATGCAATTATATTCATTACAATATGAATGAGAAATTTGGATGTAAGCCATAAATTGAGATATCATTTTGTGTTGCTCGTTTTAATTGTACTCTAAGAAAGTTTTCTATTTTTGTGCGATTATTCTCAATTTAGCATAGTGTCGTCGCGCAAAAAATCGCTAGGTTATATTTAAAACGTTGAAGTAATACAATTACATAAGCTAGTCCTACTAGAAACATAAATACACTACTGAAAATAAGCTTTTTAGCATTCTCATAAGTTGTTTCAAAAATTTAGGATAGCAAATGTTCGATGACAATGTTGGTGAACTCATTAAATTCGCTATCAAAATCATATAAATCTTTCAACATTGTATGTTAGTCCAGTCAGGTTGTTTTATTTTTGTCGATACATTTATCGTAAATAGAGCCACAAATAGGTATTGCTGTTTTTTGACACATTTTTTCAAGGCGTCAACTTGCCGTTCAAATTTAGGTAGCAAAGTTTATTTTTGTAAAGAGCATCTCGAAATCTATAAGATTACATTTTCAGAATTCCCCGAGTACTGTACCGGCACAGTCTTTTTTTAAATTCTAAGTAATCTAACATCGTATTGTGCGTTTCGTTTGATTATAAGTTAAATAAAATCAGCCAGTGAATTCTAAATCTTCTTGTTAATCAGATTCGGTATCATCATTTTTTTACTTTCCTTTCCAGAACCTCCACGCACATCGCCGCCCAGGACTCGGGCGCTCTGAGCGCTTTCGGCCCTATGAGTGGCGTGGGCTTAGCACCCGCAGGCGTCCCGGCTTCGGCGCCCGCTCGGCCGTCATCCGTACGCCCCACTACCCTGACCGAGCCAGAAAAGGAATTCCCGCAGGTAACGGCTCATTTCAACAGTAAACACATTTCCGAATTGACATTATTGTGCTTCGAAATACTTTGTGAAATTCTAAAACGGTTAATCCCGAATGTGGAGCGCTTTATTTTGCGGGTTATGGAGTATAACATTCATTAAGGGGGTATTCTACCGTATAATTTTGAAAAATCGAAATTTTTTTTTTTCATATTTTCAAAGTTTTAGTTATCCAAAAAATGTCATTAAAAGTATTTTTTCAAAATTACTATTATTTCTTGAGTTATGGCCGTTTTAGTGACGTGGCCTCGGTTCGAGTCCGACCGACTGCAAAACATTGAACGCGTTTTTCTCTCGTACTACTTTTTTCGAGCTGGCGGTAAGGGTATCTCGAGTTCTAATGAACCTATTTACTTCTTCAATTTTGGAGAGGATCTTCTCTATATATCGCTTTAATCGCATGGACTTTGCCCAAACTATAACTTTTCATTTAGTATTTTTAAAAAATTCGGAATTGTTTAAAAAACATGAAAAAAATTTTTTTTCTCAAATTGTCGCCATTCAAACAAAAATTTTTGTTTAAACTTATTGAAATGTCATACGATAGCGGCATCTATAATAATTAGGAATCCATATATTTTTTAATGTTTCACATCACCAGGAGGGTTGGAATCATGCACGCCAGGACACCCTCTTTTTTCTGAGCTCCCACTTTACTGCTCATAAATTTGTGAATTTTAATTTTTTTTTAATATTTTTTCATGTAATAATAAAATATCAATAAACAAATGATAAAAAAATCGATAGTAAAATATTATTTGTTTCCTTTATACAGCGCTTCAAAAACCGGGCGAAATTCATGCCTCTACAGTAGAATACCCGCTTAAGTTCTTAGTGGGATAGAATTCATATCACATTTTGGTTTAAGTTCATTTAATCTATTTTTATCAAATTCTGTAGTTAGTAGATATGATTTTCTACTTGATGAAGTTAATTCTTATGAATCTGTAATTTATAAGACAAGAATAAGATTTTTCATTGATAAACTTTAGATTTAGTTAAGAAAAATTTAATCTCATTCGATTCAGAATGACTTGAAATATCGGGAAAACAGATCTAGTAAATCGGAATTTCTTACGAAAATAACTTTTCCTTCGGGAGTTTAATCATATATTTCTGCTGAAATATTTTTCAATGTCGAATTAAATAATGAAGATTGAAATGAAGCACGTTTGCGTTATTTATAGAAAGAAGAACTAGAAATATTCTGCTTACAAAAAAGTCGCTAATAATAGAAATTAACACCTTATGAATCCATAGAAAATCTATTATCGAATGCGAGTATGAATTCGAACTCTATACAAATTTGCGGATATTCAACATCTTGATGAATTACATTTTTTAAAATGATAGGATTATTACGTATGAAAATGTTAATTTTTGTTTGTTGATAATTTTTTGTAAATTGTTTACTTAATTTCGTAACTTCCTCTTTGTTAACTTTTTTTTAATAATCATCCACAGATACGAGGCGTTGAAGTAGGCATCGTAGTCCTAGTCCTTTTGGTATGGGTCGGCGCAATCGCACTCTTCTTCAATCGCTGGGGCAAGATCCGAATGCTGCTGCCGTATCAGCCGGACTACAAGCAGGAACAACTCAAGGTACCTGGTACCGGGGTCTGCACGGGCGGTTCCGTCGGCGGCCCGTGCACCGGTAACGGACCATGCACGGGTCAGCACGTCGGGCCTGCACCGCTCGCCGCCTGCGTTCAGGTAAGTAGCAATTGCTAGAGAAACACGCATCCGTAGTGTACTGCCAATTGTAGAATTATACAGAGGTCCACATTCGGGTCGAACTTTTATGAGTTATCGATGATTATAAAAAGAATAACGCGAAATTAGAATCATCGTCTTATGTCATGAAAGTCGCTTCTGAAAATCTTTGAACAATGCCGATGACAGCCTTTCATAGTAAGCTTCGAAATTAATTTTGCAATAATTCTAATTCACGAATCATTTCCGAAAATAAATTATTTATAACAATTACTAATATGATAGAGCGGGGCTAGTTGAGCATAGGGGTAATCGAAATATCTCGAAAACTATTCACCGTCCGTTTAGGCATTATATGGCGGAAAGATAGAGGTTTGGGAGAAATAAACATCCTGCGATCGGTAGTGGCCGCTGGACAAATGAGTGAGGCTCACGGGATTTTTTTTCATTTTGAGTCCAAAAAGTAAAAAAGTAATTCATTACGAGTTTTCGTCTGGTATAGTCAAATGTTATTTATTTTTAATCATGTAAATGTTATTCTTCCATATAATTATAGTACTTTTAATATGCACAGAGATTCTGGGTATAATTCTCACGGTTTTTTTATAAACTCACTTTTATTTTGAAATTCCGAGTTGGGGCTAGTTGAGCATAGCTGCGAAACTTGTTCTGTCACTAAGACAATTACCATTAACTTGCAGAAATTAATTATTATTTTTTAAAATTTAAGCTAAGTCTATGAGTAATAATATAAAGAAATAATGAATTTAAACAAAAATACTGAATATAATGATAAAATAATTTCTATAATACGATATTGTTTTGTTGATTCTACTTTTGGTTAATTATTCAAAGAAAATCACTATAAGTTTTGTTTTCTCTGTCAATTAAGACTATAAATATAGAACTGGTTATTGAAAACTTATTTTATTTCATCACAAATCGACATTGAACCTATGATTTCATTATACTTTCTTAGTGCTCAACTTGCCCCACCCATGGGGTACATTGAGCATACTTGACTTTTTGCATTTAAATAGCTGTAGCTTTTAAATTTTACTTATTACCAAAAAATAGTATTAACATTTTTGTTAGGCGATAAACAACAAATCCATTAAGCCGTATAGCAATTTATTGAGACTTTTCATTGAGGAGCTACATCCGTTTAAGTAAAAATTTGCTCAACTAGCCCCGCCCTCCCCTACATACAATGTATTAAGAGCGCCAAAAACTTCAAAGTATCAGATTATATTATTTAATTGTATTTAATTAATAATACTTAAATGCATAATCATTAATTTCTGCTCTATCCTCAATTCCATATTTTGTTCTCGTTATGAAAGATTCGATTTTAAGGGGGTATTCTATTGTAGAGTCATAAATTTTTGGTCATTTTCAATTTATACTAAAAAGACAATAAACTGTTTACTATTATTTTTTTTATAATTTATTTATCGACGTCACAAGAGAACAGAAAACTAAAAAATGTAGTAATTGTAAAAAATAGCAGTTCATGTGGGAGTCGCACAAAATCAGCAAGCGATCGTGTTCATGATTGCAACCCTTTTATTAAACCAAAATGAAAGAAGAGAAATCGTGATCATCGTATTGAATGAGACAGTTTTAGGAAAAACACGTTTAAAGTTTCGGAAAAGGAAGAAAACCGAAGAGTATTATCATGGCCAAATAGTTGTTTCTTCGAAAATAATTTAATTTATTCAAATAATTTGAATTTTTTTTTAATTTCTACACTAGAATACTTCCGTAAATCGTTTGCGGAATCATTTTTTTGCGAATTAGTTCATTTAATATAGCGTAATAGCAAGTCGACTCTTGATTTCAAATGCGTTTGTGATTTTAGATCAGTAAAACTATTTTGTCTAAAATAATAATATAAGTATTAAAAAAGTAGTTCAGTAAAAATTCAATAATTTGCCGATTTCTTCAGAACATAAATATTTCTTCACCACATTCCCTTAACATTCAACTCGAAGATTGACTCGTATATTTTCCGCGTATTTTCTCTGTAGTTTTATTTCCTCATGCTTCGTCGGAAACTAGAATTACGTGAACATATAAAGTGCTGTGGCGTGTTTTTTCCATTGAACGACGCTCGTCTACCCGTCCATATAAATGTTACGGTTGCTAGAAAAACGTTAATCTAAATTTATCAGCGAGAAAGTTTTCATTTTGCTCATGGATGTTTAATTTTCATCCTCAATTGCTAAGTAATTGATCACGTTTTAGTTGTAAGTTTTATCAGCATTGTTCGAAGATGTGGACTTTTAGTTAGTAGATAACGGACTTGCAACTTATACAATAATGAATATTTGCTATAATATACTTTCTTATATAATAATAACTAACTTTTTGTTATTCAAAATTATGATCTTGATGTATGGATGTTCGATGTTGAAATCTAGCCTGACTATTCTAATTGTTTGTAAATGTTTTATTTTCTATAAACAATTATTTAACTAATAAATGTGAATGCCGATATTAATATAAAATTAATGCTAAGAGCTGCTTCATCTTTAACAAATCGTTGTTGACAATAATTCATAATAAAATGATTTATCGTTAGAAACTAAAACGAAATATGTAATATTTTGAGCTTTATGTTAACGAAGCATCCAATGAAAATGTAGTATTCAATTGAAGAAATCAATATTTTAAATTGAAGTGTTACATATCTCGATATTGCGATGCAGTCGATCATGAATTTCGCAAACATTACAGCGGCATTGAAAAATATAATATCTAAAATTGAATATTCGTGTTTAAATATACATATATTTATATTATATACATTAAGAAATAATTTACATAAAACATATCTTTAAAAAAAATTCATAAATTTAATTAACAGCAAATCAATCATTAAATTTTGTCTAATTTTAGTTTCATTATTATTCGTGTATAGTGGGTGAGGAAAATTAATTTTATCTATTAATTGTGTTATTGTCTATAGAATCTAGTTACTTTATACTTTTCTACAAACTTAAATTTAAATGTTAGCTTCTATTAAAGATGCATTTCAAATAAGAATAAGCTCTCATGTAATATTTATAAATTTTCTGGATGCATATTCTGTTCAACACAATGCACTTTATATCGTACATATACAACTTTGTCGCACTTGACGGAGCAACCGCCAAGCCTCCACCGTCGATCACCCGGTCGGTAACTTCAGCGCCTTTCCTCTGCGCATACGTACTCGAATAGTGTCAGTAATAGTTCCCTTGATGGATGGCGAAGTATTCGAAAACTTTCGGAATTTGAATTTTCAACTTGAGAAGTATCAAAGAGAATGTTATTAAAATATACAGCACATTGATTTTAGTAGAAATTGAAAATAGAATGAAAATTTATAAGTATATGATTTTTCATATAACAGAATTGGCTATTTATAATAGTTTCACAAACTTTCAATAATCGCCATAAAAATTTCAAATCATTTAATATGACAACCACTTCAAGTCAAGTCAAGCACCTTCCCCACCATAAAAAATAACTGAATCTCCGGTCTAGTAATGTGGCTGCATAATAATTAATATCTTATAATTTCTGTCGTTTCCTGACTATGTTCTACTTAAATGACCTGGACAACTGATTCCTGTAATTCTTCATCACTACTGAGTATCTTTCTGTACGATCCAGAAGTAATTTGCAAACATATTTTTAGATAACTATGAATGTATTTGCAAAAAAGTAGGGAGTGAATTATGTGTAAATTACTGCTGGAAATTGCAAAAAGATAAAGATATTCAATAAAGATGAAAAAAGCATTGCAGAAATTCGTTGCGCAGGTCATTTAACGAGAAAATGACAGAAATTTTACGAGTATAATTATCATGTAGCAAAATTCCTAAATCGGATAATTAGTGGTGTTTAATTTGTCTCTCTCTTTTGCAGTTTAATCGCCAAAATTTTCACTAGATTCTAGATTCAGAGGTAAAAATTACATAGGGAAACATATGTCGCACGCCCAATACGGACAACTTTTTTATTTTGTGTAATTATTGAAAACATAATTAAAGAAGCAATCTTTCCAATTGAATTGTCGTATAGTATAGATTCTAGATAAATTTGTAAATAAAGAAAATATTAATGAAGAAAAATCTAAGTAATTTTTCTATATATTTATTGCTTTCAATTTGCACCATCATAATATCCAAATAAAGTTGTAGTCGATCCATCTATATTTTTATATGAACATATTTTATTACATTTTATTAAATACCAAAAGAATTCAGAAAAATATTGTATTGGAAACTGCTGATGTGAATCTGTTCCTACATATATAAATTTCCTATTTTTATTAGTACCTACAACATGTTGACTACAAATAACTGTGATCTATTGAATCTCACGCACGTAGAAAACGTGCTCGATCGAGCTCCGCAATTATACGGCACGAGCGCCAAACTTGGCAATAAAAATCAATGGGAATAAAAGAACGAATAAATAAAATAATTGAGAAGAATGTAGCATCGTACTCGTATTGTATTCGAATTCGTATACCGTTTTCGTATTGGAAGCCTCATGTATTTACCAACAGTGATTTTGGACAACTGTTTGTCAATCTAAGAATAGCTTCGATAAAAGTTCTAATACACTTTTAATTCATTTTTATATTTGAATAAATGGTTATTCAATAAATGGTTATAAAGCCAATAAATTAATGAATAAAAAATAATTGAGTCTATTGTAACTTTTTCATTCCTTTCTTATAGTAACAATTAAATTTAAAAAAAATAACAAGAATCACATTTGATTTGAAGTTTTAGTTAGATTCATAACTTTACTTATATTTTTCCTTCGATGTGATAAGAATTTTTATAAATTTTAGGAAAACCGAGAAATAATATTTAGCGGTTATAATTGCTTACTTCTTCAATATTCATTCTTCAATTTTTTATTATGAAATTGTAATTCAAAATAACACACTAAATTGCAATTACAAGTAAAGATTTCAATGTCTTATTTAAATGAAAAAGTAATGGTTAGTGAACAATTTAATAGGTAGATTACTAACATATTGTATATATGTAACAACTAATGTTACAACGATATATAAAGTTATTAATAGGTTATTATATCATAAACCATCAATAAAAAATACAAGCATTGAAATAATAGTTTTTAACGAAATGCTCCGGAAAGCTTAATGCACCCGTACGCTGCGATGAGCTTGCATTAAAAAGGACTTTATATTATCTACATTTGCAGTCATATTTGTATTATGTACAATCTTCGTTATTTTTTTGATGAGTTTAAATATTCAAACTTTGCGTTTTATTAAAATAAATTGCATGTATATAATAATTTATAAAAAATTGAAGTTGAGTATAAGAATTACGAAATTATTGATTAGCATCCATCATTATCAGAACTTTCCTTATAGCAAATGTAAGTTATGTGTTCACGTCAAAACTTTTTTTAAAGTAAGTGTTAAATGCAGAAAGTTGAAATTTTTATTAGTAACACACAAATATGTAATATTACACACACACACACACACACACACATATATATATATATATATATATATATATATATATATATATATATATAAACGCTATGGTCGTCCTGTTAAAGTTGATTCAAAAAGAATTGTTTACTTTAAATGTTATTACCAACCGAATGATCAATTCTGATGTTTACATTAATCAACTAGCAAAATTAAACAATGCAGTTTCAAAAAGCGGCCTGAATTGGAAACTCGAAACGGTGATTTATTCGATTATCGACGATATTATATATCTTTGTACACACGACAAAAATTATTGGAGCTTGGTTGGGAGTTGAAATTTACTTTGCCATATCAACCATACAGAGTCCTGATTTTGCACCTTCTGGTTACTTTTTGTTTCGATATTCACAAACTCCTTGAAAGGTATGCAATTTGATAATTATGATGGTGTTAAATTGTACCTGATTTAGATTTTTGCTAATTAAAGCCAGAAGATTTATAAAATTGAGATGATGATGATGCTTTTTGAAAAATGGCAAGAAGTCATTGATCACAATCGACATTTTAAAATAAAGTTATTTAGTTCCATAAAAAATATCTGATTTTTTAACAAAAATGCGCAATTACTTAGTTTCCAACTTAATATTGTTCAAGATGTGCCATATGTTCACGATTGCACCTTCGTACCTGGATGGGAACCGCGTGCGTTGTACTACTTGAATTCATAATCAAATAATGTAATGGCTTTAGCCTATTTAACGAAAACTGTAACCATTCCGGACATAAGTTTTTCATGCGTTTTTTTTTTGCAAAACCACCCCTTGACTATATTTTCATTTGTGCTGACGTCATTGATATATTTAGACTGCGCAATGCCACGTAGGTATATGAGTTACAAACACGCGATCAGTTTATATCTAAATACTTAATTACGAACACGAAACAAAAGTGTACACCCACATTCAGTGACGGACGGGCCACTTCGATAGCCTCTTAAGTTTTAATAATGTCACCGGAAAATACGTCACAGTAACAAATGCCTGCATCCGGCATGTGTTTGATCGGGCCTAAAAATAAGATGGAAAAATAAAACGGTATATCTCCGCAAGCACATCTACTAGAAAAATCTCAATTTTTTCTATAGTGTATAAAAATACAGATTGTAACTCAAATAAAGGGTACTTTAACCCTTATCTCGTTACAATATTAAAATTAGTAAACGTTAACAAAATTATTTTTTAAATAATCTTTTTTATGTGAACAAAATCATTTTTTAAATAATCTTTTTTATGTGAACTATTTATATACTTTAACCTTTTCGCTACGAACGTTGTCCATCGACGATGTCGTTTATGGACGACATGTTGTGTTTACCTTTGCTTCAAGATATGTCACTCTAATTATAAGTTAAACTATTGAGAATTCTAGTCTATTGTAATTTTTAGTTCATTAGAAGCGTAATTTTTTAACATATTTTTACTGATAATGTTAAAAAAAGGCTTGAAATATACCGTTCAGTAGTGCAACTGAACGGCACGCTTTCCCGTAAAGCAGCGACACTCCTGCCGAAAGCACTCTCGTAGCAAAAGGGTTAAATACCAAATGTGTGAAATACAATCACATGAAAATATTCTTCTAATATCAAAATAATACATTAACTAGTGTAAATAACATATAAACTTGTGATTATAGTTATGTTTTATTAAATTATACCAATTGAATATGTGTAATTCAAACTTTTGATCCGCAGTTTCCTCAACTGCAAGACCAATATTACAACTCGACTTCTTAATTTATTTAATTTTTCTTGAATTCAGGTCAAGAAGCAATGAGTATTGTTTCAGTTATGCTCAAAAAACTTTGTGGAAGAACTCACTCTTCTAAATTAAATGTAACTCTTTGTTTGCATCTCGTGCTAGCACGCTTCCGAAAAAGTTTTTCATAATAAGAGATGCGGTTTCCGCCTTCAGGCATACGTTTTTGCATGAATTTTAATTTCTAATTCATTATCTTTATGTTTATGCGGTACACCCTTTTGAATAAAACTCAGTTAAATGAAATCAAAATAATCTCTGAAAATGCAGAATATATTACAGAAAAGTTTATTACTCGGATAATTATAATAGATAATTATTTTAAAAAAAATTAATTGTCGTGTTTATTTTCATTTCTTTTAAGTTATAAAATATCCAACAAAATCTTAATGTATTATATATATATATATATATATATATATATATATATATATATATATATATATATATATATTGACATAGCATGCTTACACAATTTCTAATTTTAAACAAATCAAAGCAACACCTTAATGTTGATCCTCAAATCATTTATGAAAGCCGTTTCATGTGTGAAATAAGTTTATTAACATAAAACGCGGTCATGCAACATGCACAGCATTATTTAAATTAATTATTAATCGATAAATGATTAAAATAAAAGCAAATTTAAGTTCGCGATAATGTCCGAGAAAAGGGTAGGCATATGCGCTACTGCGCAAAATACAGCAGTAGCGATTTACCGGCCCGATAACTGCAGCAATGCGGCGTCGTAAAACTTTCAACGTTCGGGACATTAAAATCATGTACGATTTCGCAACAGAAATTTTACTTACAACTAACACGAATACGAACTAAGCATTTATTGTTCAAGATAAAAAATGTCATTGTCAACTCAGTTCTGAAGATAAAATTTGTACAGTAATTATACGAAATTAGGTTGTCTTCATCGTGAAACTAAAATTAAGGATCATTTTGTGTTGCAAATATGATCTGGAACAAAATTAAATAATGTCTCTGTTTTTACACTTTACTCATTTATTAATTTTTTAAATTAGAATAGTAATAATTAAATCTATTATTTTTAATATTTATTGTAATAATAGAGAAGAACTTTAACTGCATTTAGCAAAAGTGACTGACGAGTTTGATAAATAAATTTACTATATTTGCGAAGCATCGTATAGGAGCAAAATAGAAATTAAAAGATAAAAATATGGAGTTTTTTTCGTGAATTATAACGTATTTTGAGTTGACTTTCAGAAAATATAACATATACCTATATAAATATGCTAAGCACATACAAAGGACATAAATAATTTTGATACAGAACAAATATAGTAATTTTGTTTTTATAATCTTCCAAATTTGAAATTATATCATTACGATTTCGGAACACGACATATGTAAACCATCTACAAATGACAGGCGTTAATATTTAATATATTATATGAGAAACGTCGAAGTTAAAATAGTATATGATTTCATGTGTTGTCCTTTTCAATTTTATCTTTTTAACCCCTTAGCTACGAGTGTCGTCCATGGACGACAATTACTCGACTACCGGTGTATACGAGTCTTGTCCATGGTGACATATTCTGTGCCGGACTGCAGGGTTATTAATTATTAATTATAATTATATTAACAACATTCAAATATTACGATGAAAGCGATTCATAGATGTAGAGTTATAACTTCATATCCAATATATTAACAATGTATATTTTAGAATATATACGAATGTGAATTTTGAACAAGGTATAAAATAGAATTTAACACAAATCGGTTTCGTGTCTTGAAGATTACCTATTTTGGGAATAAATAATAGAAGAAATTCAGTACTTAAAATTCATATCGCGTGCTCTCTAAATATGTACTTTTTCCATAAAATTGATAAATTCATACTCGCATTAGCGTAACAAATGCAGTTAATTATATATATATATATATATATATATATATATATATTAAATTTTTTATATTCTTGCACTATATATATATATATATATATATGTAAATTAAATCATTTTAATTTTTGAGACTTATACCGCTAAAGAATATGTTAAATTAATTAAAACTATTAAACCAGCAAAACAATAACTGGATTAAAATCTTACAAAGAGACTACAAATTATGATATAATAAAAAAGTTTAAACTTCAAATTTTGACGGAATATCTACTTAGCATGTTCCTCCTTCACGAACATAAAACTACTATTAAATTTTTATTGCGACCGCGGTGTAGTTCGTTGCTACTAAGTTTTACATTTGCGACATTATTCAAGTCTATTCTGAGCTGAAAAGTGCATTTTTATGTGTCATAAAATATTTAACAGAATTTATGACATGCAACTCTCTTCAATAATGATAGGAAAGTAAGTACTTTGGTAATTTTTTTCAATTTACGATCAATTCATGTAAAGTCAAACTTTGCGCAAAGTAATGGAACGAGTTTTAGGCTGCGTACTAAATGGAAGGCCTCAGTATAAAAGTAATTTCATTTCATGAAATTTATTTCACCAGTTTACTTAGTTGTGAAAGTTATACAGTATATTAAATTTAAGGTAATTTATTTATTCGACGCCAAAATAATATTAAGACTAACTTTCTAGTCGAAAATAATATTTCTCCTAATATGAAAAAATAAGTACAGCTGAAACAAGAACAAACTGTAATTAAATAAGATAAAGTAAATGAAAACAAAAAAGTAATCCGTGGAAGTTTTGAAAAATAAAAAGACAAAAAAGTAAGGTTAATGATAATCATTATCGTTGCATTAATATTACACATCAAAAAAATATTTTTAATTTCAGATTGTGTATATCCTTTTATTCTAACAAGAAGCTCATTATTCATAGCACATTCTTCTACAAGATACCGAGTTAATTAAATTATAGTTAGTATTATCATTTTATTTATGAAGACAAGATTAATAAATATGTGCAAAATATTCGCAAATATTTTATATTATCAATCTCCTCTATTATGAAAAATATTTTCAAGATAATCTCAACTCCGTCTCGCGCTTATTCTTATTATTTTCAAACCATTACTTCCATTGCAATGGAAATATTTTTATGAAACATTTATTCTATCTTTTATTTTTATCTTGGGATGTGCAAAGTATGACTAATGTTCCGCATAAATTACAGCTATTTCTATCTTTTTTTTTTAGTAAGAGCTAGGAATATGTAACATGCTGTGTTTTAAATGTAAAGCTGGCAGATATGCGTTTTTACTTTATACAGAAGTATTCTATGCGACAGATGACAAATGGTCAGAGAGACAGAAAAAGTTAAATCCGTTTTTAAAACTTTGTCATAAAACATTAATGCTTCATACATCTGCAATATTTATTTCAGTGCAAGAATATATACATTACCTATGCAATGTTATAAAAAAATGAATACCTACTTACGACGATAATGGTAATAATGAAAAAAGAAACTATAAGTTCAAAACATTAAGTACTAATTAAATAAACAAGTTATTAAAATCATATTGGTTATACATACAAGAGTCTATGAGACCGTCGTAAATACTTTTCGGTGGAAGTGACTATGTTGCAAAACACTCTGTATTCTTTTTAAAAATGTAGCTATACATTAAATGTCCTAAATTTTTTTAAGCAACTTGCCTTCAGGCAAAAAGCCACTTACGACTAGTTAGAAAATGTTTCGTTGGCTTTTACACGTGTTTGAAATTCAAGTTAAATGTAGAATAAATCATTTAACGTTGTTTACAGTATGTTAATACACTTCTCTTCCATTGATCTTACGTAAACAATGCATTTCATCAATCCGGTGCATCCCATTAACTTCCGGATGTACCGGAGTACAAAATAGTAACTTTATAATGATGATGAAGGACTCTGGAAAGGCACAGCAGAATTAATGTTTGGATGAAACTGCATTTATATGCATTACTTAACTTATATGCTCGAAAGATGGGTCGTTTAAGACTGAAGTTGCAGTTTCACGAGAAATTGTCAGCAATAATTTGCAATTTTGAATGCATCTGCGTACTCAGATGATATGATCCATTACAGCGTTTTATAATTTTGAGTAAATGAGCATGTGTTATAATCGTAATAAAAGCGTGATTTGTACATAAAAGGCACATACAGCCCTAAATTTTCACCCTCCACCGCAAACTACTATTTTGTAATAGTATTTCTAGCAATCGAATAATTTTTCTCCCTCTTTAGCCAAATGTTTTTCACCGAATTTATCGGCGAATATTTTAATTACATTCAGTATGGCTGAGAATCAAACATCTATTATTTATACGCCTTAATGTAAGGTGCCGATGCTCAACACTTTATTTTTTGACCAATTTCCATTAATTTATTTTTTATATGTGCCCGAAAGCAAACACAGCCCTAAATTTTCACACTCCTATTTCGTAATAGTAATTTCAGTAATGGAATAATTTTTCATGCCTCTTCAGCCTGTCTTCATGTGAACATAAAAATACTAAATTGCCAAAGTTGACAGAGAGAAAAAATGGAAGGATATAAAATTTTTGAATATTTAGTGTCAATTTCTCAAAATTGCAAATATTGAAAAAAAGCTGGATAAGTTAAGGAACATGATAAAAATATTATTCAAGAATTATGTAGGTTTTGCATACAATTAAAGAATCGAATGCACTTTGATCAATGTTAAATGATGGTGCGAATAATGAATTACAAAAAAAGTGATGTTATTCCAACTCGCAAATGATTTCTAAAGCCATAAAATA